TTGGGAGTAAATAATAAATAAATTTAAATGTTATTTTGGATTCAAGAATAGTAATATGCTTTTAGAGAATAGATTTGCCTGCCTGCAGGTAGAATACTATGGTTAGAAATCCTTGTATCACATTACATATTGTCCTGGCATCCCTGTACTTCAAGGCTTAGTATTTTCATTTAGGCAAGCGACACCCATCAATCAATAAATAATATTACTTGGTGAAATCTAGTTTTATTTTGTTTTGTAATTTTATCTCACCATAGTAGCCACAAAATTTTTGGATTATTTTCTTTACACAGCATTTGCTTAAGAGAATTGTTACCAATGTTATGCAACCATTCAATGAAACAACAGTCAATTCAACTATATTTAAAATTTATTCTATATAATATATTCTCATTGAATATAATGATAATTGCCATAATCCAAGTCCACTTGAAATATCCTTGTATTAATAAACCCAAAAATTATAAATATCTAAGCCTGATTAACTTCAAAGGCACAAATCTTATCACCTAAATTATAGAATTGTGATTATATTATGTCACATCTGTAATGTAACAAGACAGAACACAGAAATGGTCCATAGAATTGCGTGGACATCACAAGATGTTAACAGAGACACAATGAGAGCGTTTACTATCATCGACATTCTAAAAATATGAGTTGATCACTCACCCTCCCTCTGAAAGGTAAAAAATGAAAAAGAATGTCTATTATATATTTACTATGAAGAAACTCAAGTACATGCAGATGTGAAGGGAAGAATTATGAATTATCTGTATTACACATAAGTTTTGTGATTGGTATTTGGAGAAAAAGACATTTGACAACATTCCAGTGGCAGTTAGGAAATTCAACATTAAAAATATTTATAATTAAAAAACAGGAATTACTATCATAACTACAGAAGTTTCATTATTTTCTCATATTTTGAAGAAAAACACAAAGGAGTGAGAGGGCAAGAGAAAAAACATAATGGGTCGTATAAAACCCTGAATCACAAAGTATTTCTTGTGAAGTTGAATCTAGGATAATTTTTGTTCCTTTCATTCATTTGAAATTCTGTTCAAATTTTCAAAAACTTCATCATATTAAAAGGACATCTTAAAATACTGATAGTGTAATTAGAACCACCTCAGTTTTCTCAGGATTGTGTTTTTAATTACATGAAGATACTGACCTTTCTCAAGAAGAATTGTAGATACAGAAAACATAATTATCTTTGCTTTTTTCCAATTTCTATATTCAAATAGTAAATTAACTGGCTTTAATTCAAGTAATCTTCTCCAAATGTTTGTTGTAACTTTCACTAATGGATTGTTAAAAAATAATTTTTTTACGAAAAGAACATTACCTACTTTAAAAAAGACCATAGAAAGGATTAGTGAAAAATTATAGATTTATTCATCATATAAACTCTGTTGGCCTTGATGGAAGCTCTTTCTCTTTAGTTTCTTGAATTTGTAGACTGGACCAACAGACAAGATTGCATAATAAAGTAATCAGTAATTTAGTCCACATGTACATCACAAATGAGCAGCTTCACAAGTAGGTGCAAGGCTTAGGATGCTACATCTACACAGTGACCCCCAATATTTTTTTAAATTCTTTTTCACTATCTAAAATGTCCCTCTAATACACAGTTTTATCAAAAGACAGCCAGTACTCTTCAGCAGACATGAAAACACTGAGTAAGTATAATATGGAAAATTATATTTGTATGTTGGTATTTATTTATACCACTAATTTCTGTTCAGTCGCATCTTTTATACATGGCGAAAGAAACATTTACAAATATCATAGAATACTGATTGTTCTCATAGTGGAGGACTGTGCTTAGGAAGATCATGGGTGCTTTGGATGGAGACAAACTCCAATAAAGTTATGAAGCCCCAAAGTATTGTTCAATCTGAAATCAGACTCTGCAAATTGAATGGACTCTTAAAGCAGTTCATTTATTGTTAGTGGCTGTAGTAAAGCATCTGTACAAAACCTTGTTTTTTACATATGAAAGATACTCTAACAGTACCATCAACTGCAACATTATATCTACTTAGAGAGCCTTATTTTTTGATGCAATGGAAATATTGGTGGAGGCACCTTCTGATGAGGCATCATTAAATAAGTCACTCATAAATTGCTGACAGGTTTAACACTACAAATCATTTGTAGTTAATATGCAAAGTTTTCAAAACCAGACCCTGTGTTAGCATATTTCTTATTTTAATCTATCTCATCTCATGTAATATCGTGTGTAATTTTTCCTGTTCAACACCAGGACATTTCAAAGTTTCCAGCCTCTAGTGTTCTATTCAGAGAGTACTGAAATATTATAAAAATACATAATTTATATTAAAGTAATCATTATATTTGATAATAAATAAAACTGTTTTAGGGTGAGTTTGTTGTTGGCAAGAGAGCATATCAATACATTAAAAAATACATTAATGAAAAACAAGAGACAATAATTAAAGGAAAATCTGAGTAAAAAGATAATTTTTGTGAAAAGTCAATTAACAAGTTACATTCTTAAATAATGTATGAATTATTATAGTATGTGTTTAGACTATTTAATGAATTTATTTTATATTTCCATGAAATTAATGAAATAAATAATGTCAGCAATATAAGAAAATAATTATTTTCAGGATTAAAACACCTGGAAATAAATCCCTAAGTTGACCAGTTTTGTTTTGAGATGTAACATCAAATTAACTTCTCCGCAAAGCTCGTCACAGTTTTTAACTGTTTTTGATGTAAATAAATAAATAAATAGATAACTTTATTTGCTTAATAATACAAAAATAAGTTATTAAATACAAAGGCAAATGTTTGAAATTAAAAATAAACAGCATTTGAAGGAACAAAAGATAAAATTAATAGAAGAATTTGGTAATGAAATTAATTAACTTATAAAGATTCCACAGTCCAACTAGAGATGTTTTAAAGGTAATGTGCACCCCAGTCCTTCATGACAAAAGGATTCTATATTTTATTATTTATTTTATTAATAGTAATATTTTATATTGATTTTCAAAACCCATGCTGGCAATCTGAAAACGCGCTGTTTACTAAGAAATGTTTCCATTTGTATGTAAAAAAGTCTCTCTAATATTTTTGAAAAAAACGAGAAAGGGAGGAAATTGGCTGATAATTTTGAATTTCATTTTTACTGCCTTTTTTGGAAAGCAGCTTAATCTTAGCTGTTTTAAAGATATCTGGAGAAATTCTGGAGATCTGGGAATATCTGGAGATGTTTAAAGATACATTAAATATGTGAATTAACGGGTGTATAATAGCGGGCACACAAGTCTTTAACAAACAATCTGGAAATTCACGTCAACTGGCAGAATATTTATTTTTTAGTCTTCTGATTAATTTGAAAATTTCTTAGGAAGAAGTTTCAGAAAGAAACTTCATGTCTAAAATTTTTGGGGAAATATCTGAAGCTGAATTTTGTAGCTGAAGACCTTTAGTGAGATTGGCAGCAATTCTTGAAAAGTATTGGTTAGAGAGACTAGCTACTATTGCCGGATCATTCCCATTTCTATCATTATCTTTTAAAACAACATTTTCTGCAAGGTTTCTTGTTGATTTGGTCGGATTTTTAACTATTCCACATCGCTTTTGTTTTATTATTTGTGTTCAAAATATTCTGATCATGTTTCATGATTTTAGACTGCCTTATGACTTTTCTTATCAATGATTTGTATTTTTTAAAGTAGAGGAGGAAATTTTGAGAAATGTTATGATGCTTAGAAATCAAAGAAAGAATTCATTTGTTTTTAAATGATGTCCTAATCCCTTGTGGTATCCCAGAATTGCTTTTCTGTGAAATATTTAATTTTCTTTTTTGAAGAAGAAAGTAAATGTTAAAATGAAAAGAAAGCATTGAAGAAAAATAATGACATTTCTTGTTTGTATCATCAGTATTGTAAACAGTGTCCCATGACTCTTGCAGGAAGTAATTGATGAATAATTTTATTTTGCTTTTAGTAAACAATCTACTCATACATGTATTATTTATTGTGTTCCCATTTCTTATAATAGTAAGAATTTGTGCATCGTGATCACTGTATCCTAAATCTTTTGTTTCAATTTCATATCGAGTAGTGGTTTTCTTAATTATCATTTGATTGATTGCCATCTTTGAATTTAGTGTAATCTGTGTGGGTACATTTATTATAATATATAAACTGAAGGAATAAATTAAGTTGAGAAACTGCTCTTTCTCGCAGATAATCAATGTTAAAATATCATCATACAACAATAGAGATGTGTTGTTCATTCATTAACTTCTTTCACTTTAATTCATTATTATAATATTAAAGTAATCATAATGAAATAAATCTATAGTTTATGACTTTTCAAAATCAATTTGTCTTGCTTTACAAGATAATATGGATCTGACATGGCAGTGCCTTCATGATATCAGATCAGACATGGATTTGGATTGGAATGGTTCTGGGCAGATCACATTTTGGAACTCCTTCCTATTGTCTTGTATGTGAGGAAATCAAGATTGTAAAAGATTGAATAATAACTATTCACTTACAACAATTGAGAATGAAAATTTCAATTAAAGGAGAATCCACCAACAGCACAACAACTGAATTGTAATATGTCACCTTGGACTTGGACTTATTTTACCTACTTGAGCTCTGTATAAAACAGAATTATAGTTCACTGCCCCTCCATTGATCTTGGCTTCCAGACTGAGCATTTCTTTTGGAAATTGTCAGATCATATTTTGCATTTAACTATTAGAATTTCTAATGTAGTTAAAAACATTGATAAAGATTCATAAAAAATATATGTGCCATTCAAACATTTAGCAACATATGATCAGACTTTTTAGATGAGAAAGCTTAATGATAAGTGGAAATTTACCTTTTGGGAAAAAATTGCATCCACTTTATACGCATTATTTTGAGATTAAAACAAACTTGTGAAATGGAAAAACTGCTTATATATGTTTCTGGTCTAGGATCTTCAGTAATCTCTTTTATATTCATTTTAGATTACGTGATTGGAGAAAATCAGAATAACATAAATGCTTAGCATGATGTAAATCAAATATTCAATTGACTAAAAATTAAAACATATATTTTTTAGAAAAGTTGGAACAAAAGATCTTCAGTTTTGTTTTTCCCCAAGATGTTTATCAGAAAATGTTATTAGGTAATGGTAAGGTTTTAGTCAGGTAATGTTATGTGATTTACAACTATTATTAATAACATCATGTGACTATAGTGTCAACAGCACTAATACATTATAGTTAATCTCATGAATAAAAAAAATTCTTCATATGTGTGACAGATCGCACATAAATCAATTTTTTATTTACTGAAGTACTTTGGTATCCCAAAATTTATGAAAACATCATGAATGTAAATTTAGGAATTTTCTCTTGTAACATTCAGGGAAAGGCAATGAAATTATCTCACTCAGCCAACAACTTGTATTTCATAAGAAACTTTCATGAATTCATATAACATGAAATAATTATTATTTAAATTTTTTAAATAATACATACATATTTAATATGTTAAAATGTTGATTCTCCTATTAGAATATTTTTCAACATGCAAGAGTAATTCAATTTTAGATCTCAGGGTTGGAAAAATTTACTGATGGAATAGTGCATTTTTGTACTTCAATGCCATTCTTGAAGAGACACGTTCCTCATATTCATTTTCAAATTCTGAAAAAATATATTTTCACTTGACTGTTGATTATCTGCCTGTCAGTCCAAAGTAAATCTTACACAAAGACATTCAAGAAGAATTACTTTCAAAGCACACCTGTCACCTAATGTAGCTCAGGAATTATGATTTTGCATAATAGTTGAGGAATATTCTTAATAATAGTCATGTAATTCTCTCAAATGAAGAAAATGTTATCAGAAAAATGAAAATCATGAGTGGTAATGAGGCCTTCAGTTACAGAAACTGAATTGAAAATCCATGATTATGAAATTTCAAAAGAAAATAATATTTCAACAATGTCTACAGCTCACACACCATTAGTACAAATCATGCATCTTCACTTGCAAAAATAGTTAATGCACAATACTACTACAGAGATACCCCACAAATATTACAAGTATTATGAAAGCTAAGGATTAAAATTAAAATTTAGAACTACTGTTACTCTTGCAGGCACTTCACCCAGACTACTATGCCAGTTGATGGAAACTGTTAGTGAGAATTAGATGCTTCACCACAGCTTGGACTGTACAGGTAACCACAACTGTTAGACTCTGTAATAAACTGGGGCATGGAGAGGAGAAGACCGATCACACTCTGCTTCACTAAGCTCATCACGCTTCTTGTGACGGGTTGGAAAACTGAAGGCTGTCTCCTTAGTTACACTGCCTGAGCCACCTGAGCCTGAGCACATAGCTTCATCCACCAGAGAACTACGAACACCTAGTTTCTTCTTTGGAGAGTGACTCCTAAAACAAATTTAAAAAGTGGAATTTTCATTAATTTATTTATTTCATAGTAGGCATTTTCAAAAACAAAATGTCATATGATAACTTTTGCAAAGTATAAAAAATATATGCTAAATAACATAAGTGCATCATTATGTTACTCTAATTAAAATAAGAACAAGTTGTTAGTCACACATTGCTTATGCATATTATATTGTGAATTTGCTATCTTTGGCCTAAAAATATTAAAGAAAAAATGATAAATCTATGTAAACATGTCAGAAATTGATAATTTTACAAAAACATCCCACGATAAACAGAATTTTTTTGTTTTGTAATTATAGCTAAACATTGTAGTTTTTGACATATTTAATTATTTCTTTCCAGAAAACTGAAATATCAAAGCTGTGTGTCATACAGTTATTTAGATATTTCAGAAAATACAAATAGATATTTAATACCAATGAACATGGTGAGTCATGAAAAGCAATCCCCTTATTTACCCAAATAGAAGAAAAGTTTTTTCCTAAATATCCCATATGAAACTAATGCTGCTACTACAGCACACACTTTCTTGCGTTATTTGTGATGGCTTCACAATATTATACAACTACATGAAACCTGAGAAAATGCTTCCAACCAACAACTGTTTTTACTATGCGAAGGCACAAACTCAGGCCCCTCATGTTAATTCATTAAGCGCTTTACCTCTACACCACACAATCACTCTGCTGTGACCACTTGGGTTGATACGTAAAAATCTAATTGTCTCTTCCTTTATTTCAAACATGATATTTTTGAAAATTCAGAGAGTTCAACATAAAGTGAGACCTGCACCAGTCTTTCAAGAATCCCTTGTTTTATCCATAGAAAAATTTTTAGTTTTTAAATTCTATTAATTTCAAGAAATAATTCTCAAAAAAATATTCGTTTTTCAAAATTTTGTCCTTGGCCTTTTTTAAAGGCCTGATTTTTTTAAACAAATTTTGTTTAAGGCAAAAATATTTATCTTCAATTTTGTAGTTTTGAAATCTTAACTTTTTGCAATTTTCGAAAATAGAGAGTTGGCTGGAAATGAGTCCAACAGAACTTATTTTTACCTTCCTTTCATAGATATGAGGAGAAAATTTTAAAGAAAAAACTTGCTGTTGTAATTGAGAAAAAATGTTTCAAATTTGCCTATTATAAAATATGTGTTTATAAATCGCCCTATATATTCACGCCTATTCACGCAAAATTACGCGAAAATTACTAATTTTCGAACAATTGCACATGATCTTATTTGAAGGTTCTTTAAAGAATATATTTCACAAAGAAAAAATCTCTACCTTCAATATTGTACGTGTAGGATGGCGCCGAAAAAATGTTGCACTTTCACAATTTTCGAAAAATCATGGGCTTCAACGAAAATTAGATCTTTACCATTCTCTTAAGCATCCTTCAATCTCTCCGAGGGCAAAGTTTAATAAAAGACTTGGTCATTTTTGAGAAAATTTGGAAAATTTAATTGAGGTTTCATGTAAAGAATCATAATGTCCATTTCAAACTCACGGGAACCTCAAGGTCCTTTAAATCGATCGAGAAATATCTATTTACAGTAAAAACTGTCTAAGCCAGAATGGGTCACGACAGAAAAAATTTCCGGTTTATGGTGGTTTCTGTTTGAAGCAAGATTGTCAATTTTATAACCCTTGAATATTGACGTTTCTGCACTGAAAGTAGTAAATTACACTACTTTATTATAATTATCAAAATACATTAACATATACCGTATTTACAGAATAAATCGTCAATAAATTAATATTAAACACTCTTCACTGACACCACCTGAGTTAAAAAATAGACAACTTATTGTCTTGTGGCTGTATTCGGACTTCTTGCTAACTCTTTCAACGCACATTGCTTCACAACCCAGTACTATGACTTTCTGATACCCTCACATGGCCTTGAGCAAAGCGTTTCCGGTAGAGCCCGGACATTGTCATAAATGCCTATTTTGTTTCTTTGAATCTAACTTTAGGCACCTTTTACCATTATCAATTTTTATACACGAGACTGCTTCTGCGTGGATTTTATACTGTCTAAAAATGCCTATTGGGGGAGAATTGCCTATTGTGGCCTTCAGCCTGAACTTTCTGTTGTTTTTTTTTATAAATTTCGTTCTTTCAACTGGTCTAGATAACATACTTAAAATCACTGTTCGGTAGTGTGCCCTTGCGCGTCCCCAGCAGAGAGGTCCTTCAGAACGAATGTGAATATGACACCGTGCCGCATACTCTTATCTAGTTCGCTGGATTTTGCTAGGGTGTTCGGGCAAATGGATTTCTTTCATCACCCGTGAGTTATCTTATCCGTTCCTTACCAAGAACGCAGCACTGCAAAAATGGTAGACTCAAAATGGAGTAGAATTACAGCAGAAGCGGAGATTTGCTCGGCAGTAATTTTGTACTGGTCTCGAAGTCTGATTCAGGCCGGTTCAGTTTGTGTAGTGATCCTGTTCAATGCGCTTGCTATAATGTCGAAAGAAAAGTCATCAAGAAGCGCGTTGCTGAAAGAATGTATTCGTGGAGAAGAACATTTTACGACTGACGAAAAAGCAATTTTTTGCCAGCGTTGTAAAAAAGTTATCAATTGTGACAAAATATATCACATCTTACGACATAAGAGCACGAAAACTCGTGCCAGAAATGTGAGGAAAATGAGAAAAACTATTCAACTTTTACTTCACCAGGTGCAGCCAGAAGATGAAGGCAAGAAAAAATTGAATAGTGATTTGTGCCGTGCGCTGATGCAGCAAATATCCCATTTTCACAACTTGAGAACCCAAAGTTTAACCAGTTCTTGGCAAAGAACACAAAATATAAAACTCCAAATGAGTCAACTCTTTGTAAATATTATCTAACTCCACAATATGAAATAACATCAACAAAATTCGAGACGATATTGGCACCTGGAATTCTTTGCTGTTTGTTGATGAAACTACAGATTGCTGTTCGAGGCAGATTGCCAATGTTGTCGTGGAGAAACTAAACTGCCATGGTCCTAGTAAACTACATTTGATTTCGACTGAAGCATTAGAAGTTAATAACCATTCTATTGCTAGAGTAGTAAGAGATGCTATGCCCTGACGAAAATAATGAACGCTCAGACTTAATCTTTTACACAACAGGACACAGTAATAATTATAGGTGGGCAGAATGACATTAATTCGGGCAGTCACTTTCACGCAATGGAACATTTAACAAAAATACAAGAGACTGCCAGACACACAAATGTAATAATGACCACTCTGCC